AACATCAAATTCTGGGTCTTTTCGTCTAATAATTCTTTTGATCTTATTAAAGTCCATACAAATGCTATTCCTTCATCAATCATCAAGGGCCTACACCACTGGCTGGACAACAAAAAAATAATTCCTTGCTCATGCCCAACTCAACCATGCATTAAAGAAATAAACATCTCTAACCTCAAGTCTGTTTGGTATACTATATACGCAAATTCAAACTACCTTCTCAATAACATTCAAGAGCTCTTGGACTCCTTCTCAAGCATACCACGAACCAATCCACAGATAATTATCTCACCTCCTCTGCTATCTGACCAACCCGTCAACATATTTCTCTACCATAACAAAGGCAACAACACCTTGTCAGTCTCTAAACTAGCCAACACTCTAACTTATACCTTGCACTCTAACTTCTGGAGCATTTTTTGGCCAGTACTCCTTCAAACAATTACTGATCTCCCAACTCATTCATCACTCAAAATTTACCTTAACAAAATCCCTGATCTAAAAACTTCCAAGTACTCAAATATACTAGTGAAAATTCCTTATAGTAGACTCATCAATAAATGTATCACTTTTATAGCATCAAATAGCATCAATACTTCCTGGTACAAACTAAAAGATCATTAATCACCACTTCTAACTCTCCCTGCCATCAACTTACCAATTTCCCAATGTTTCTTCTTCACATTTACATCCTTACCCTTAATTAATAATACTTATGCCACAAGCATCACACACTGGATAAAGTTTATAAACTACTACACCAACCTATTTGATATCTTTTTTAGTCAATCGGCATTTTACAAACCTTCATCTTTCATGGAATTGAAAACCATTATCAAAGCAAACAACAAACTAAAAACATCTGATCAAACAAAATATAGGGCATTATCAACATTCAGAACAAAACTTCTTGCAAACCAACTTTCAACTAAAATCAAACTTCATAAACATTACCCCAACCTCTACTCTAACAACATGTGTTCAAGATGTGACGCATACTCAGAGAACCTACCACATATCTTTTCCTGTATCCATAACAAACCCTTAATCAACAAAAAGAAAATCAAACTTGAAAACTTAATTTTAGAGCTAAACCCCAAAAGCATTAAAGCTACCAACTTCATCGACATATTCAAGTTAACAGACGACAACTTATTAAATCTAGCAATCGGCAAATTCAATCATCTATTCAACCTTCTTCAAAAAAAAGAAAACATATCTAATTATACTCTCAAAATTTTATACAAGGCCTGGAAAGCATGTTTTGTCTTAACAACTATATTGCCAGGATCTGGAATAAAGTGGAAAAAAACTCGCACCGCAAAATTACCAAACATAGAAGCAAACAGCAATTCAATGTTTAATACAATTTTAAATCTAACAACTATATCACATAATTATACTGACAAGTCAATATTTATTCCAGCAGTAGTATCATTGTTCTGAACAGGCATTAGCCATTCAGCACTATTGTCACGAGCCCACTCCTGTAGTGTTACCTGGTTTCAATAAATTTGTTGTGATAGGTTACAATTAATTTACCATGTAAAGATTGTTAATGTAATAACAGTAAATACTTTTTATTTAAATAAAGTCTCACATTTAATGCTTGTTTGCGATAGAAAAAAAAAAGTTAATAAGAAAACAATTCAATAAAAACAATCAAATAAATCCTTCATTATTTGTTTTATTATTATTAAAAATTATAATTTTTATTTTATTTATTTTTGAAATTAATTTTAAATTACCTTTTCTACCATTTAATATTCATTTAGAAACTATTATTATTTAATTCAATATTTCTATATTCTATTTTTATCACAAATATTATTAAAAAATTAATTTTATCTATTAGTTATTCTGAAATTATTTATTTTAATATATAGTAGTTATTAAAACTCTTGTTGCTTTTACTATCTATAGTAATCTTATATTTGATCCTGCAAATATAGATACTATTAAGCTACCCTTTCTCTTGATACTTTTTTATTACTCAACTTATCAATAACAATATATTTAAAAAATTCAGTTCAAATTCACTTGAACCAATTTTGATTACCACTATTATTACTTTGAAATTTCTTATTTCAATTGTTTATATAATTTAAAAGAATTATATCTGAATTCATTATTCTTGAAAACAAATATAATGGCCAATGCAAAATCAATATTTAAAAAAACATTTTTAGTAATAAAATCTTTACTGATAATGAAACTTAAAACCTAATTATATAACCTATTTCCTGTAAAAATTTATCAAAATCAGTAATTGGACTGATAAAATTGTTATAATTACTTAAAAAACATTTACAAGACAAAATAAAGAAATGATAATTATCTTATTATAGGGATTTAAAAATAATATTATTATTATAAAAGGAAAGAAGAATTTTGTACTAAATAATAGATTAATAAATGGATTAAAAATTTAGAACAATAAAAAAAGAATTAACAGAATTGGTAAGTTTCTACTATACTGTTTTTAAAAATTAATTAAAAGAGTAAACATAACTAAAAAAAATAAACAATAGGCAAAAATTCTAATACTTTATTTGAGAATTACTACTTATTATATAAAATAATCTATGTATTTGAATTTTACTAGTGAATATTGAAAGGTAAACATAAATAATTAAAATATGAAAATAATTGTTTTTGTATTAAATATGAATTACTGTATATGAATTAATATTATAAGTAAATTTAAAGATCAATTTCACTTTTTTTTAACAAGTGTAAAACTTTTGCTTTTGAATTATATAATTAGCTATAATATAATCAAGTTAAATGATAAAAAATTAATAAAATAAAGAATTTTTCTAGACTTATAACCATATAACAACTATAAGAATTTTTAGAATTAGTTTTTTATCATAGAAAGTTTATTAAAAACTTCTTTACTATTGTTTCATTATTGAAAAAGATAATATTATATGATTGGATAAAAAGTTTACAACAAGCATTTGAAATCTTGAAATAACTATTAATTACTTTTTTAATTTTACAATATTTTAATTTTTCAAAACTATTCTACTTATATATTGATTCTTTTGAAACTGAAATTGGTGCAGTATTGGTACAAAAAGAAGATAAACAAAATCTGCAATATTTTATGCTAACCAAAGTTTAAATAAAACCAAAAAAAAATATTCTGTTACTAAATTGCAATGTCTTGCAATTATTTAAACTATTGAATACTTCTATTAATACTTAAGAACCAATTATTTTTATTTGGTTACTGAATATTTAGTACTTTAATAGTTAAAGAATATTGAACTTAAGAAATTATAAGCATAATAAATATTACAACTGAAACCTTATAATTTCATAATAATTTACTAATTTAGAAGAAACACAATAATGCTAATACAATGTCATGAATATATAAAATATAAAACCTATTCTTAAAAACAACCTTAATGCAATTCAATATTAAAACCATAATATAAGCAAGAGATTAATAATTTAATAATAAATAATATTCAGTTATATTATTAGTATCTTGCAAAAATAAGAATCAATCGATAATCTTTTTAAATTAATAAAAATTTTGGTTATAAGTTATAATAATACAATATCTTAATTAATAATATCAAAAAATTAAAACCAGTATTAATAATTATTAAATAATAAAGAAATCAGATAATATAAGTCAAAAAAAATTTTTATAAACAAGGTTCCTTTTTAGCTTTTTATAGCATTATATTAGTTATAAAAAAGCTCAAGACAGATTAATTGGATTTTAAATATAATAATTTTATATAGAGTAAGTTTTGTATAATAGATAAAGAGAATAAATATTAATTTTAAATAAATATCTTAAAAAAAATATTGTAAGTGTCAATACCTTTCTGAGGAATAATGATCCCAACAAAATAACAATCCAAACATATGAGTTGTATTACAAAAATATTTATAATTAATTTTTTAAGTTATTGACTGGTTCTTTTACAGTTTGAATTTAAACTTGATTAAAGACTTGTAAAACAGATTAGAAAAAACATTAAAAAAGAAACCCCCAAAAACTTTAATAAGACATTAAAAAAGAAAATTTAAAAACTTGAGTCAATTAAAATGTTTAGAGAGAGGAGTGAGATTTAATTTCCGATGATACATTAAAAAAAGTGATTAATTTGATTTAAAAAAAATGATGCATTTTATAATAATTATTAAAAATTTAAAATAAATTACGTTCTTATATTTAAAATAAAAATTAAGTCATATAAATAATTTAATAAATTTTAAATAATTATAAATTAATTTTTACAAAAAAGTTTGAAGTTTGTAATATAATTTAATAAGAATTTTTTTATATTCTAACATAATTGAATCTATATTGGCCATCATGAATCATAATCATTACTTTTTATACAGGTAACATTTCTTAAAATATGACCCGTAAATTTATTTTTATAAAAATATTTGGTCAGGTTTTAAATGATTTCTGTATAGATAATTTAGAGATATAAAAATACCAATACCATCGTTACGTGATTGTTCAGCATAGATATCCATTATTGAACTTTCTTAATTTTAATCTAGAACTGTATTGGCAAAGTAATTATATTTACGATAAAGGTTATATAAATAAATTGCGCCAAGTCGTCACACACTACTTTTGTCCTTAGCAATTCTGTCATTACCAGACCAAATATTTGCGTGACCATAAGAAATGATTTAAAGTAAGTACTATGGTTCTAACTTTGAGATATGTTACCGACTTAATTGGTATTACACTTGCTAATATACTTTCTCTGGTTATTCTTGAATCCTTCCTTGTTGCTGGAAGTCTCGATTCTTCTATCCGATTTATTAACTAATTTCTAATGTATTAGAAATAAAATAATCCAAATCATACGTTTGTATGCTCTACTCTTTTATAAGCTATTTATTTCTATTTAATCATCTATTTGCATCTAAACTTTCAATACACCGTACTTAGCCAATTCCCCATTAAATTTTCATTTGAAGTATGCGACAATTACAAAAGTATCACCGCATCAATCATTTGATAGTAACCCGCAACACAATAAAAAATTCGTAAAGTCTTCGAAATCTTGATCAGGGAAAAGAAGAGAAGCTATAAGACCAAATCCAATACAAATCACGAAGTAGAAAAATGCAGATGCACAACATCCTAAAGTAAAAGCTACAATAGACAATAGATAAACTCCAAAAAACGCAAACATGTTTTGATATTCTATATATTGAAAACATAAGTAGCTTAGTAAGAAAGGAACCACAAAGAGTAGTGCCGTTAAACACAAATACGTTAGGAATAAACAAATAAACATCGTAACTCTGATAGCAAGAAGTATATAAGATATAAATTCAAGCATTTTCTCCTTAAAGCTTTCTTTAAACCAATCCACGATGAATTGAAAAATTTCTTTTAATAATTCCATTGAAAATTGGAACATTCCATTAATACGTTGAGGGAATCTTTCGTCGATAATTTGAAATACCTCATATTCTTCTACCTCAAAAGTTTCTTTGTTAAGAATTTTCTTCTCATAAGATTGTTTTTTGCTTTCGCAAACAATAATATCAGAGGAATTTGATGAATTGATGCGCAAATCTTGCAAGCCAAAGCATGGTCCTTTATTTCTGCACCAAAAGATCGCCTCTTCCTTAGAAGAAACTCGGCTTAATATTGGAATTGTTCGATTTGTTAATGAAAATATAAAACTATTGGATGTTTTGCACCGATGATCAAAATCATTTGATAATAGTGAACTTCTTTCATCTACTTTAACCTTACACCATTTTAGTGGATTGTATCCGCCAACTATCTGTCTTGAATCGCGAGCTTTAATGACAACGAGTGTTGGTCCCTTGTTATCACATTTTTCATGAAATTTTTCAATCTTAAAGCCATCACGACTAGCACGGTAAATAAGCTTAAATTTAAAAGGTATATTTGTAAAATAGTATGGCGTTTTTTTCCTATCAATCCAACTTGCTATTATGCCTGCATCTTTAGAGTTAATAATAATTGAATCAAATGAATGTTTTCTTAATGGTAAAATGTTGACAGAGGGTTTAAAATTAGGATCCGAAAAATATTGAGTAACTTCACTATCAAGACCGTCGGGTAGAATGTCTTTAAATTGATTTCTAACTTTTGCATAGTCGCCAGGAGACATTTGAAAAAATCGAATGTGAGAAATGCAATTACTTAAAGTAATTTTGAGGTCCGTGAAATTCTCCGGTGTCCATTTCGTTAAATCATCATCTAAAATTGAAGTGGTATTTTCGATCCCCCATTGAATTACGTATTCCCATATTTCAATTTCGTCTAATTCAAGATCATCACATTTTAAAAGATTAATGAGATGAGCTTCTTTCATCCTAAAGAAATCCTCTGATTTAAAAATAACTTCCGGGTTTTTGCACGCCAATTTTATCGCGACATTATACAAGCTAGTAAAGTGGTCGTGCTGAAGAACTGTAACTATGTCCATTTGTTTCCAATTAGATTCATCCTCAATCAAATATTCTTCGAATCGTTGAAAGACTTCAATTAATTGAAGCTCATCACTTGCAATAACAATATCAACAAAGCTAACTTCATTGCTTTCTGCGGAAATTACTCCTGTATATATATATCTATTTACGTTTTTATTTTTCATACAAATAAATTAGTTGCTAGCGCGATTAGGTCTTATAATATATAATAATAATGAACTTACTTTAAAAGTACTTTAAATACTGACGGAGAAATATTGGGTTTATTGAAAATGGTAATCCCATTTTCCACCCTTGCCCATCGTGAAGATAATGCACTTTTAAAATATGTCGATCTACTAGATAAGATTAACGAATGTGCTTTAAACTCTTCAATGTTCGGTTCCTCACCAACTATAATTTTTACGTTATAACATTCAGGATTTTCAAGTAATTTTGCAAAATCTATGGATACCGAATTACTCATATTTCTAGTAAAATGTTATATTTGCAAAGAGAAATCATATTCACACAAAAACTATAATACAGTATATGCATAAATTGTGAGTATCTTATGACGCTACCTAAGGGATTTCATCTATCGTACTAATAAAGTTATAATTTGTTACATGATCGGCTTACGAAATAAAAATTGCATACAGGTGCATAAAGCTATTGTTATTTAAATTACACAGAAGATTGTATCCTGATATGGATAAAACCAGTTGAATGACGTCTTTGATCCCAGATCAAGGTCTGAAGCCTTTAGCATTAGGTTTATAAGTTATTGCATAAAAAATGTTTAGGTCTAAACTAAGATAAATACTAGACGACTTAAATATTAGTTTGACTCAATAAATCAAAAAATTGTCAATTAATTAATTTCGAATATAATTGAATCGGATTTGTACTGTATATTTTTTATATAATTATGTAAATAGTTCGGTCAAAACTATTTTTCTGGATATTTAATATTTAGAAAACAATAAATTGGTTTAATTTAGTTTAAGATAGTTACCGTAATACAATATCTACAGCTACAGTATATTATTTTTAATTCAAGTTTAACGATATACCACTAACGACATATACTTAGCAAATCTATTAAATTTATTGCATAAATGTTCTTCAATAACTTACGGGTTAGCTACCAGGTTTTGGATAATATGATATACTGTATATCATTATTGGATTATCCCATTGTGTTCTAGTAAAAGTCTATTAGATCTAAATGCAGTAGATGGTTTTTCATTTATTTATTATTTATTTGTGAGACAGAATTGATGCTGTATATTCCTTGCTTGGACATTTATATAATGTGACTAGATCATAACATGTTCTCTAGTTTATTGGTTTGAACTTGTATGAAGTATGTTTTGGTTGTTCAGACTGTTGAGTTTCTTTTCATGTTTTTCCTTTTTGGTATTTGTTTATTAATTAAGGAGATTGTTGTTGTTGTCTTGAATTGCTATTTCCTAATTTGAAGATTTTTTCTATGAAAAAGCATGTTTTTGGACAGGTGTTCTGCATATGTATTGTGTTTTTTGTGTATTTGTTTTGTGGCCTATGTGCTTGGTTTGTGGAGGAGTGTTTATTTAATACATACCTGACTTTTGATTTGGAATGTGTTTGCTTATTTGAAGTTTAGATTGTTTTGTCTTGAAATATGTTTGCGTTCATGCTACTGTTGATCCTTTGGAGTTTTGATTTTTTGAAATTAGTGGAATTTGTTTGCAATATATAAGATCTAATAAAATAATTGATGTATATATTTTGTTGTGTTTTTATTCTTTAATCAAAATTTGGAAAGAAAACTTTGATATTTCTTTGACTTTGTGTTAGTATTAAAGGTTATCTGGTTTACTGAACATAATTTGACTAACACAAAGTCCTATTTTGTATTTATGAAGGTGCCTAACCTGATACATGACTAGTTAATAGCTCTGTAAAATTGATACTTGATTTTCTTTTTTCTGATCTTACTATAAATTATTTATCTTGTTTCTTGTCTTCCTTTTTGTAAACTTTTGCTTGTTTTCTTAAAAAAGTTAAGTAAATCAAAGAAGATAGTTAGTTTTTCAAAACAAAGTTACTTGTCCTGTTGTTAGAAAGTTTGGATTGCTTGTTCCTTTAAATAGTTTTTGACCTTTGACAATTAAAGTGTTTGGTTTTTTTTTCTTGAGATTTTCTAAAAAGAAAATTTTTAATAATTTTGGTATTTGTTAAAAAGTGTTTTTTTTTTTTTTGTATAGTAATTATTATTGTTATTATTATTAAAGCTAAGTTGCAATACACATAGATTTTATTGATGAATCAATTATAATCACAATTATTTATACATGAATAGTCTATTAACTATTGTGAATATTAACTTATACCACCTGCCTTTTTTATCAGAATATCAACTTATATTATAAAGATAGGTTTATATCCTGGCATTTACTACTATAGAGTAGTTCTACTAACTATATATACAAGTACTTATCACTTTATATCTTTTCACTATACAGTTGTACATAATGCAAAAAAAATCTTTGATACAAATATGTACTTCCATTTCCTAATAAATGTACTAGTTTATTGCTAATTGCTATTTATCAAATTTAAGATCTATTTTAATCAAGTAGAATATAACCACTTAAGAAATTTGTCTCTTAAACTCCTAATAGATACTTTATTTGACTAATTGATATAGGTTGCCAAATTTAGAATACAAATATCAAACAGAATTCAACTTATATGAACTCTATCTCACCATATAATTTTTATACCAAGAACATAAGTAGTGTTGCTACAGTATTTGTCTTCAAGATCTTTTTACTTTAATAATTGAGTCCAATTATCATAGATCACTTCTGGCAATCATTATATTTCCAATTGAATAATTATCATACTGTGATATCTTTTTTGAAAATCATAATCTTAATATCTATTGGATCAGTATATAAAATAGCTTCATAAAAGAAATAGTTTATAACAAGTTATAGTGTCAAATATTGTATAAGTTCTATTCAATTGCATTCACTTCAAATTAAACCTTTATCTTAAAATCTAATTTGTAAAGTACTAACTATTGTATTATAGATTCATAGATTATAGTAGTTATTATATAGTATTTAAAGATACCAATTATATATATATATATATATTTATTTAAAAAAATAGTTTTTATATAACTTTTTTCTTAAAAATTTTCTTTTATAGTAATTTTTTTTAAAATTAAAAAAACAAATATTTTTTTCATTCTTCAATATCCAAAAGTCTTGTATATCTTTTTTATCTTCATTACAAGAATCTCAAGAAAACAAAAGAAACATACTAGTGCATCAGGATGAGCCTTTGGTTAAGAGAAAGCAAGTTTTGCACTTGTTTCTTTCTTGAATTGCATGAAAAAAGGCACATAACTATTGCTTCTTTATAAATTTTTCTATTTTTACTTTTTATTAATATATACTTTTTATTAAATCAATAAATTTTCTTCTTGGTAAGCTATACTTATTCCAAAAATTAAACTTTATATAAAAATTTTTTATATTATTGGCTTAAGGTACTAGCAGTATATTCGATACTTATTTCACAATATTGCTTAGCATATAATGCTATATTATTAAAACTTAAAAATTTTTATATAAAAAATTTCCTATCAAAAAACTATAATTAGTTTGTTTTTGTTAACTAATCAATATTCTGAACTTAACTAATCAAATACTACTAACTTTCTAAACAAATTCATACAATTAAGACACTATACACTGATCAATATAAACAAAACCTTTTTTGATAACAACAAACAAAATAAAATCACACTACTAACAAACAAACCAATTACTAATTATATTACAATAATAACAATATTATTATCACAACCAATTATCTATTAAAGAAATATATTATCAACACTATTATATACTTTGAACAGTAGCCTGGCTATTTCTGAAAATATAACTATTATATTTAGTTAAATAAAACTATTAGTATAGCATATTTAATAATTTTATCTGAAGTATCTATAGCTTTATAATTTGTTTTTTTGTATCTATCTCTTTGTTTAATATTTTTTTTTCTTCAATTTTTTATTTCTTATAATTTTTTTACATATATACCTGAGTAGATATTTATAGCTGCTTAACACTATTTTAAATATGTAATGTTTTAATATTATTTTTTGTTATTACTTAGATAGTTTATATAGGCAAAATAGTATTAGACTTATTAGCTTAGCAAGTTATATAAAAAATTTTTTGCTTTCTTTATGTATAAATTTTAAAGATACCTTAAAATATATATATTCTATAGATAAATACAATTTCTTTATTTATTTATATATTACAATATATATATTTAAAAAGAAACAATATCTATATACAAAGTATACTACAAATTAAATTTAAGCCTACCTACTAATATTATAAATAGTTAATACTAAAAAGAAATTTTAAATCAATATTCATGCTAAATATAAATCAAATAGTAACTATATTTATCCATTTAAAAAAATGTTTATGATATAAAAAAAAATTGAAAAGAAAAATAATTTGAAAAGAAAAAAATTGAAAATAACTAAAACTAAATCCAAATCAAATAATCTATAAAATCTATAAGAAAAAAACTTATATTTTCAAGAGAACTCTTGACTAGACTTTTGTTTTATTTCTTTGGTTCTTTATATTTATAAGTATAATTTTTATTAACACAAATAATAAAATTTATATGATTTTATTTTTCATTATAGTTATTGTTATAATTGTTTAATATAATTAATAATTGATAAAATAATTGATCTATAGATCAGTAATAAAATTTTGTTTTGACTATGGTTGCTAAAACTGATTTTGTTTATATTAATTATTGTATAATATTTTGATTATATAAATTTGTTTTAGTATTTAATGATATTTAATTGATTAAGTTTACAATATTAATCAATTGACTGAAATAAAATAATTATGGTTTTTTAGTAAAAATTTTTTTAAGTGGAAATTTTTAATTTTTTATAATATAGCATATTATATTAAATAATATTGAAAAGTAGATATTGTATATACTGCTAGTACTCCAAGCCAACAATATAAACAATATTGATGTAAAATTTGATTTTTTGAAATAAAAAATAGCTATTTAGAAAAAGAAAATAATTATTTAATAAAAATTGTTTTTTTAGTAAGAAGTGTAAATAGAAAGAACTTCAAAAAAGATTTATAAAGAAGTAACTGCCATATGTCTTTTCTTATACAATTCAAAGAAAAAACAAAATTTCCAAACTTGCTTTTTTTTTTATCAAAGATTCTATTCTGATATATCAATGTATTTTTTTGAGTTTCTTAAAATTCCTGTAATAAAAATAAAAGAAGTATAAAAAACTTTTAGGTATCAGAAGGAAAAGATAAAAAAATATTATATATGAAAAAAGTTTTTAATATTAATTTTATATGACTTATATTTTGTATTAATTGTTTATATTATATAAGTTATAATACTGAGTTTGTT